AAAGGGGGTCGTACCTTTCACTGCATCGGTGCATATGGTTGTTGGTGGGGAGTTTATAGCAGCTCCTGAGGACTGGGTTCGGTGCAAACTGAAGGTGTGTAACCCCTCCTGTGGCAAAGCCCTATTTGAAAGGCAGGGAGAAGGGAGGAACAGGCAGGCACTGCTTATGTAAGAGTTAATGTATATAAATTATCCTATTGAAGCATATGGCAAATAAAGAAGCATTGTGTAGCAGTGGCAAAGAGTTTATGTTCACGTGAAATGTGGCAGCAGTTCCCTAGGAGAAGGAAGGTCCCACCTTTATTAGTTTCTTTCACTCAGTAGGCTTTCGCTCAGTAGGATGGCTTACTGTGATTTATGTTCTAGTAACACAGTGCCCAGGAGCCCTGTGAACTGACCAGAAACCCTCTGTACATCACTTAGCACAAAAACAGGACAAGGCAAGCCTGTTTCAAAGACCTCACCATCCAGATACTTGACTCATTGTGCAGCAACACCTGTGTAATTGGGGACCAGCTTTCCCCTACCTCCCCTGTGTACTCAAACAGCTGAAATGTGGATAACAAATTTGTAAGCTAATTCAGAGAGTAGGGTGTGCTTAGAGTCAAGCAGGCGGCCTGTGCCATCTAGGAAGGGATTGGGTACAGCTGGGAGTATTTAGGTTGAAAAACTATTAAAAGGAGTGGTCCCTCCTAGGGAGACATAGGAAGAGTTGGGGGGGGATGAACTGCTTGTGGCATGCCTATTTAAGGACTCTGGGTTGGAAAGACTTATTGGGGCACTTCTGCTGGTTGTTCTCGGCTTCTACATCAGGTATGTGTGCGTGTGGTGATTTGGGGAAGAGACTGCTCAGACTGCAGTGTTATTAGTTGTTAGGATAAGCTACGGATTTCAGACCAATCTCTGTGCTTTTGTTAAGCTGAGGGGCTTGATCTGCTTGAAACAGCTGAAATAGAAATGGATAAGAGGTTAGGAGCTTGAGTTCAGTATGTGTGTAATGTTTTGCTCATGCAGAAAGCTTGGCATCAAGCATTCATCAAAACAGCAATAGGCCAATTTAGTCAACTTGGGTGTGGGGGGAGAAATCCAGTACTCTGTATTTTTTATTTCTGCACTGTATCAGTGAATCAGATGCTTACATTCCTCAAAATACAGCATGTCACTTACTCTATGATCTGATGATCAGAGGCACCTCAGGAATGGAAGGAAAAGAAGCAATAGGTGTTGTCTAGAGAGCTTCTGTGCTATTTGAGAGCCAGGATTATTTTTCTTACTTTGTTATGTGGTGGCAGATTTAAGATCCTGTTTTTTTAAGGATGTTCTCTTACTACTACTACTTAAGCTCCTGATCTTGAAATTCACTGTGATTTCATGACACGTTAATCTGCGCATGTCTTTGATGACTAGCATTTTCAAAGACAATTACATGCATTAAAATGGCAATTAGGTGTTGTAAAATGTTTCCCTGTGCTCCATAAGTCAGGAGTGCCTGGTGTCTTCTGTAATGCCTAAATCTGAAAGGCAAAATTTGATGTGCGTGGCTTGAATCTCTACTTAGACACGAAACAGCAGTATCTAACTGTTCAAGAGAGAAAATGGGTGGGATGGGAGACACAGCAGAACATCTTGGCAGAAGTGCCAAGATGTTGTCTGTTGCTCTCAAGGGGGTCAAATGCAACTATGCTTAAAGCATTGCTTTTAAATACACCCATATGTCCCAGTGATTCACTGCAAATGAGGGTTCTGGATGCCTTTTCCAGGATGGTTGTGTGATCTTTAAGTGAAGGAATAACTCTGTCTCTGATAGATGCCAAAACATAGCTGAACTGGTACATTAAGAAAGCTGACTTACTGTACACAGAATTAATAGATTCCTATGGGAGTGCATCTTAGGCAGGTTATGGATTTTTTTGTTGCTGTTGTTTTGGAAGATGGAGCATTCCCAGAAGTATTTTTAGAAGTGGCCTAAAAAAAAAAAATCTGTTCCATTTTTCTTATTAACAATCCTCCTGGTGAGCTAACACATCAAGCAGGTCCTGTTCGTACCCTGCTGAGATTACTGACTCCGCTGAAGTCTGTGTTGGAATATTTCCCATGGAGGTCCTTGCAAGCCCTAAAGCAAATATGATGCTGCACTAAAACAGTGGAAAAGGAGAGAGAAAGAGCACATATTGCAAACAGTATCTTTTTATGAGGATTTACTTGAGAGCAGGTCTAAATGGAATCTGAAAGCAAAGATAGAGCTTCCATACCTCTGGCAGAAGACCTAAGCCAATTGTTAAATTTTGGCAGCACAACTCAGTCTCTCCCTCTGCCTTCCATCCCAAGGCTAGGCTCACTGCTGATGGAAATGAATGGATCAAGGGATGGCAGTGACCAGGAATAAAGTGTAGCATCAATGAGTATGACTCGTACCTTATCTTCCTTTCACTTTTTCTTCAGTCACCTCAGTATTTTCAGAAACAGACTATGCAACCACTGAAAACATCCTAGCATGCGAATTAAGAATGAGATCTGCAGGAACTACTGCCCTAGGACAGTGAGAGTGCCAACATCACACAAATGCCTGGCATTTTGATAGTACTGTTGAGGAATGTGTACCTATAGAGATTGCATCAGCTGTACCTGTCGTGGTTTAATCCCAGCCGGCAACTAAGCCCCACCCAGCCGCTCGCTCACTCCCCCTCCGGTGGGATGGGGGAGAGAATCGGAAGGGTAGAAGTGAGAAAACTCGTGGGTTGAGATAAAAAACAGTTTAATAGGTAAAGCAAAAGCTGTGCGTGCAAGCAAATCAAAACAAGGAATTCATTCACTGCTTCCCATGGGCAGGCAGGTGTTCAGCCATCCCCAGGACAGCAGGGCTCCATCACGCGTAACGGTGACTTGGGAAGACAAACGCCATCACTCCAAACGTCCCCCCCTTCCTTGTTCTTCCCCCAGCTCTATTTGCTGAGCATGACGTCCTATGGTGTGGGATATCCCTTGGGTCAGTTTGGGTCAGCTGTCCCGGCTGCGTCCCCTCCCAACTCCTTGTGCCCCCCCGGCCTGCTCGCTGGTGGGGTGAGGAGCAGAAAAGGCCTTGACTCTGTGTCAGCATTGCTCAGCAGTAACAAAAACATCTCTGTATTATCAATGCTGTTTCCAGCACAAATCCAAAACACAGCCCCATACTAGCTACCATGAAGAAAATTAACTCTATCCCAGCCGAAACCAGCACAGTACCTATGTTACTGCAGGCAAACAAAATCTGTGTTTTCATTAGAAGAGTCTGGCTGTAATGAAAAAGCTGGTGGGGGGGAGGAGATGGTTTGCTTTTTGAGCTGGGATGCCAGTTTTGCAAGGATTTGATGCCAGCTACCATTCAGTTTGTTCCTGGAAGACATTCACTGAGCTGCTGGTTGCTTGGAGGGAGACTGAAACACACTGTAGTGTCAGTATTATTATCCAAAATAATACTTCCACTTTACCTCTTCTACTTAGTGCTTCAGCACACAGAATTGGAGACTGGTGAACTGAGTTGAACTGGTTCAGTGGTTAGACTGTCCCTTCCCGTGAGAATGGCTGTTACACTTATCTATGGCTAAGCAGATTCTGCTTGTGAAAAGGCACGAGGCCTCACAACCTACTGTTCCTAGGATATACACCTCCTAGCGTTGTAGCTAAAAGGGAATTTCAGCTAGCTGTACAAGGAGATTAACGCTAAGAGGATATGTAGGCTGCTGCCATGGGAAGAAGCTCACCATCCCTTGACACTTCTGACACAAAACCCACTAAAAATCTCTCTAAATGAGAAGAAAATGGTCTGAGTACTTCGTGTCTAGATGGTAAATGCGAAATGCCACAAATCCACATGTTTCTGAAGCAAGTGTCTGTATTCTTGCTAGGAGCAGAATTCCTTCCTGCTGCTGTCTTTGGATAAATCCTTTTCTTTGCTTTTTCTTTACTTTGGTACAAGGCTACAGGCTGAAGACATACTGTTCCCTTGGAAGATGGTGCCAGTGTATTCATTCTGGCACTAATGAAAGGACATTCTGGCACATGTTCCGGAATCTTGAACAGTCCTTATTTCTCAATTTATTAGTTTGACTGCAGAGCTACAGCCAGGCTACGTTCTGGGGCAGTTGTTTTCCTTGGGTACACTCTCAAGGTGCCAGAGTGCAGGGCAATCTGCTGGGCACTTGTAAAATAATTATACATTGATCACAGTACTGTGTGATTGCTAATGATGAAAGTGATAATATCTAGTCATGGCCATATAGTAACTGCAGTTGGAATTACTGCTGGGTAACAAACCAGCCCTATGGCAATCTGGCCATGTGAAGTCCATTAAAGTTAGCATGAGTCCTGGGCAAGGTATCAAAATGGGATGTGTACCTGACCAACGAAACAGTTTGATACTAATTTGACTGACGGATGTGCACAGTATGTAGATAATATTTTGATCCCTAATATAGCAACTACAGAAGTCACATTCCTTCATATTTTTACAGCTTAAAAGATTTGGCTAGCTAGACTATGCTGTCATTCACATTTTGTACTCTTCAGAATAGTTTCTTCTCATGCCATAAAATGAAAGGACATAAAATCTTGCCTTGTGGAGTTGGGACGGTCGTGTATACCTTTACAACAAAGGATGTTCTACAGTTCTGTAATTAATTAATGCCACTACCTGTGGATGCAGAGACATGTCTCGGTCCTTGATTCAGGTGTGAGGCTGGTCCTCAGGTAGTCAAAGATCACTTCCTGGTGGTTGTGCAGATGCCAGATATGACTTTGGCAAGTTTCTTGTTTTAGTAAATTATATTCCCGTATGTCACAGGCAGATGGTAATTCTTCCTTCCCCATGCCCTTTGCTTTTGACTGTTTCAACAGGAAGTTCATCAGGGTGGGGATATTTTCTTACAAAGCATTAATACAAATGTATACAATATTCAGTGCTTTTCAAAGTAGGATTTGTGGATCTTATTGGGCTGTGGGGGAGTCATGTTAGCATTTAGAGCTATAAGCCCACCAGAAAGCAAGTTGCACCCAGAGAAGCTTGGGAAGACCTGTTCTAGGTGCTACTATATATCTAAATTTAGTTATTAATGGGTAAAAAAAATCCTCTAGAACCTCTTTAGAAATGTTTTTGTTTTCCTTCCTGTGTCTACAGTAGCTTTGTAGCCAACAAAATGACCCTTCTTCCACTTATTTTTGGGCAAGTGCCAGGAAATGAACCCATTCGGCTGAATATTTCTCTCAACCTCATGCATTTTGGACTTAAGCATTGGTGCGTCAGCTGCTCTTCCCTGAGTGGTCTTGGCAGGGAGTTTTGGTTGACAAGAGAAGTGAGGAGATTCTTATTGGGATGACAGGCTGGAAGATCAAGTGCAAACTGAGTGTCCCTGCTAAGCTCTTCTGGCATTTTGAAAAACTATAAATCTAAAGCTCAAAAGGAAGTCTTAAATTTGTAGTCAAATTTTTGCGTGTTCCTGGGTGATGAAATAGCAGAATCTCAGCTGAGCTGCCATCCCAGTCCTGAGTCTTTCCTTTATGGGGATAAGGCTCTGGACTAGATGTGACCAGTCTTCCTGGTCTCTCATATTCTTGATAAAGAAACTTTTCTTGAACTGCTCAACAGCGACATATGGTTCAAGAAACAGATTTTCTGAGTGTCGCTGCCATTTGCAGAGCAGGAGACAACGTTAGATGTGTAGTCAGAAGGATCAAACTTGTTTTGGAGGGGAGAACAGAAACTGATCTGGGCATCCTACCTTCCAAATCTGTACTTCATGTGAAGTGCTTTTGTAAAGTTGGTTTAAAAACTATTCCGGTTGTAAAGGGCCAGATTCCTCTATCTCGGTCTGCGCTGAGTAGCATCCTACATGCAAAATAAGGTGCTACACAATTTCCCTGTGGGCTGTACCCACTGAACTTGGGTAGGAGTGGGCTCAGGTCCTAGTGAGCAGCTTTCACCATGAGCTGGAAAGGTTTTTCAGTTTTGATTTTACAAATGCAAGGATGTGTGCCAGGGAAAATAGACATTTGAAGGATTAAGCTCCAAGTAAGGACACGCGAACAAATGCTAGGCAGCTCTGGTGGCTCAGTTAAGCATTCTACATCTCACTCTTTGCTCCCCACGTGCACAAAAGGCTGATTTATTTGAAATGAAATCCATGAAATGTGCTAATACCTGCTCTGGTGTTGATCAGGCTTAATGTAATAACCTCCTCCCATTTTCGCTGATTCTGCTGAGCAATCTGACGCACTCTAAAACTTTTCTTTTTGTGAATAGCTAGTATTAACCTCCAGAGGCCTTTCTGTTAAAAATAAACCCACCACCAAACTGCCTGAAACAGGAGCTAGGGAATCTTTTCCTGTCCTGTTGGGCATGATCAGATAGTCCATATTAGAGGGAAACTCTTGAAAATAAATAACTGTATGTTGAGAGTGGATATTTATAGTATGGGCAGACCCTGGGTGGTATAAATCAGTACAGCTCCAACAGCTCCATCGCACAGAGAGCTTCATGGGAACAGTGAACCTGATCATTGCTGGACAGACAGATCCTTTCCTAGCTCAAGGAGGAGCCCAAGGAAGCTTTTTCCTCCCATCCAGTCTTGCAGCTGGATTCCAGCTGTCCCTCCACATGGCACATACGGTGCATGAGAGCGCAATTATAGCATAATGCCGTTCTGTGTGTGAGGCTGCCATGCTGGATAATGAGCAATTAGGTGGCAACGAAGAGAGAAAGGGAGGGAGCCCCATGGGAATAGGGAGCTTCTCAAACTCTGTGGAAGGAGATACTGTCTCTGCACTCACCGTCAGCTCCAGGGCTTCGTTCAGGAGGCCATTGCGCTTGCTGTGAAGGTAAGCGTTGGAGCTGCCTGTTTTGGCCACTCGAATCCTCGCAAGCCGGGCTTTCTGTGAAGAAGACAAACAAGATGAAGTTATACCTTGGCACGCCAAGTGATCGGTCCTGTGCTGGCAATACCAGGAGGAAGGAAATTTCAGGTTCTCTTTGTACCTGAAAAAGCCTGGGTGTGCAATACAAGGGGTGCGTGGACAGGACAAGGCACTGTTACGAACAGCTAGCACAGGTCTGTCTCCAGGAGTGAGGTGAGTACGGATGTCTGAAGAACATAATCTGCCACAGAGCATTAATGGCCTTTCCAGAGACAAGAAATGGGCTCCTGCCCCATGTTAATTTAATATTGGGAAATACTAATGAAAAAGTCTATGTTCATCATCGTGCAGTAGGGACAGGCACCCTATTTGTTCCTTC